TAGCAATTTTGCTAAATAATGAACAATAATTTACATGCTTTCAGATATGGCAGAAATTGATAGGATAGGTATATTAGATCTTTAATTAGATAATAAAGCCATTAATGTTTCTTGTTAAAGTTTTAATTATCGTTATTATTTCTCTATTATGTTCTGTCCATTATGGCAGCCACTTGCCATATGTGGATATGGAACAATTGAAATGTGCTAATCTGTGATATTGTTTTACTTTTTTTCTTTTCTTTAAACAAATTAAATTTGAAAACTGATATTTAATTCCATTATTGGAAAACTTTTAGGTATGTTTGGAATATTGGGTATGTGAATTTACTTTTTCACCTGCAAACTGTATATAATCTAAATACAGATTATTTCTAAGGAAAATTTAGTGTCAAATCAAGATGCAATTAAGTGTAAAATACACACTGGGTTTCCAAAATTTAGTATAAATAATGTAAAAGATCTCATTAAGAGTGTTTCATATCATTATATGATCAAATGACAATATTTTGAACATACTGGATTGAATAAAAACTTTTTAGATTAATTTCACCTTTGTCTTTGTACTTTGTTAATGTGACTACTAGAAAATTTAAAATTACACATGTGGCTTTCATTATGTTTCCATTGGACACTGCTGCTCTAATAGAATTTTGATCTTTTATTTTTATTTTTATTCATTACATTTTTATCATTATAATTCTTGGTAAATATGTAGAAATTAAAAAATAGTTGAAAATTATAGCTCTGGAGAATTTTATGGAATTTTTTTGTCAACCAGCAGAGCTAATACTTTCTAGGCGGGGGAAAGGAGTGGTTTTTTTCAAGTGTAGTATGAATTTCAGTGGAGGAATTCACTTTAGCATCAGTTACTTAGTATTTCCACAGTCATCTTGAGATTGAAGATAGAAAAATGCTTTAGGACTAAGTATCTAACGAATGACTGAGTGAGAGCAGCTCCATCAGAACTGTATAAAAACAAGGACATCTATTAATTGGTTTTGTTTTTTTTCCCTTTTTCAGAACTCTTATACATTTCCCCCTCTTAAACTGGTAGAAGGAAATAAATGGAACCTCTCACTGAACTCTAATCTTCCTTAGTTGTTCATGCCCCAGAGAACACTGCACTGCTATTCAGAAGATAATAATTAAAGCCAAAGTGATGTTCTGTAAGCTTCCTTTTCTTAATTTAAGGTAAGATTAAGTTTTGGGCTTCTGTTTGTGTTAGATGTTTGGAATATAATGAATGTCTCTTTCAGGTTTTGAGAGGATGCTAGCATATATTTACATCTTGTTGAATTTGTAGTATTTACCAACCACCTAACCTTTGGTCTGTTATTAAAGTTTCAGAAAAAGGAGAGAAACAGTGTCATATACAATAAGCTGCAGGTTTATTGGATTAATTCTTATAGTTTGAGATTTTTTAACTAAAAAAAAAAATCTGTAAGTGGAGTTTTGCTCACTATATTTTTAATGCTAAAGTGAGGGAAAATATACAGATATATTTATAAGTTGCTAAGTGAGCAGTTATGTGAAATTTATGCTGTGTAATGGATAATGGAAAGTAGCTCTGAACAAACTAAATGTCCATTTCATTTGATCAAAGCATGTTTTTACAAATCTAATAATTATGCAATGCTTTTTTTTTTTTTTTTTAAGTTTTCCAAAGTATGGTAAACAAGCACTAGGTTTTCCTCATTTCCACAGTAATATGGACGTATGGGCTAAGGTTGATTTATGTACTGAAGTAATTTAAATTCCATACCTTCAAAGTCACAATGCATATGTTACATGCCTATAATTATGCTCCTCCGGGTGTGCAAGCCAAGAAGGTGGCAGAGTCAGACACAGGAAAAGAAAGGAGATTGATGATATGGTATTTTGCTAATACAATGCAAGGCACTAACAGATTATGAACCTCATTCTTGCCTTTCCTACTAGTACCTTCTAAATTTCATTTCGAACTGATGTCTTCACTGATCTCTCATTTACAGAATCATCTTTCATTACAAAGACATCATCATGAAAAAATATAAACAAAGTAATATTTTTTAAAATTATACTTTAAAATTCTTCGGTTTAAGGAGAAGGTATCTCCCCACATCATTTTACAGACTTCATTTATTTGATTTGAGATACATATGCTTAAGTATTAAATTTTTTTTTTTTTTTTTTTTTTTTTAAGTTATAATCATTTGAGGAAGAAAAAACTGGTTTATGAGAATCAAGACAACGCACTGGTGTCCTTTAAAAAGTCATGCCAAAGGAAGGCAGAATATTTTAGGAGCATAATACTCATTTTACAACTAGTTACAATTCTTACATACTGTTGTTTTAAAAAGAATGATATTGTGATCTTAGATTTCCCACAGGTTGCTAGGCATTTTCTTATTCCTAAATGTTGGATGACTTTTAAGCAGACTGAACATTTATACAGAATACAATTAGACCAGGTAAGCAAATTTCTATCAAATCATACATCCTAATTCCTTTATTACGATAGTGTCATGATGTTTAATGGCCATCTCCTTTGGTCAGTTCAACTTTAGATTCTATAGATTCTATCTTTCTCTAAGTTATTAATGAAATCTTACTTCATTTCAAAGTTTTAAATATATATTTCTGTCCTTTTTTCCCCCTGAAGAAATATGCTATCCCACTAAAGATAATGTCACAGTGTGCCTATTCAAAATGAGAAGAAATAAATATTGCTTTATAGTTTTGAAGGGAAGAGGGCTACCTTTTGATGCCGTGTGAAATGTCAGTTTGATTATTAGTTATATATTTAACCCTATTTAGTTATTCCATATCAGGTTTTCTACAGACCTACTTTGTATATTTGATTGGACAATAAAAAATGAGAACGTCACACACACACGTTAATTGACGTGTGATATATCTGAAATTGCATAACAAATTAAAAAATATGGAAACTTGTTACTCTTATTAAAAAAGCAAAAATTTTGGGCATAGATTGTTAATGTTGTTTGATTTGTTCGTTTTACCTGGAATCCTTTGGTTGGGGATATATTGTGTGACTGTGGAGATTTCAAGCCTCTGTTTTTCACATTCTTAGAAATAGAATATTCTCGTCTAGCTACATTTTTTTTTCAGGTAGCTTTTTCTTTAGCAGATGATCTTTTGACCAAGATTTTTAAAATATATACATATTTTAAAAAGTAGATAATGATTAGTGATTAATTTTAGAATGAAATAGTTAGATCTGGCCATTTATCAGGCATCGTAGTTATACTGTTCTTTAATGAAGTCTTTGTTTTAATGTAAGTGAATGTTTGTGTTTCTTTATGATCCTCTTTCTGTATTTGTACAGTGAAGTCAGTGAGAATCATAGAGATCAATAGGGTGGTGTTAATATGTGTGGTTTATTGCATACATTCAAGAGCTATAGATGGGGGCTGATTTTTGAGACTGAATTATTATACAAAGCTTCTAAGTTATATTGTTACATTTTGGGACCTCAAAATAGGAATACTGTTGAACCAAGGAAGTATCGTAATGCCCAGTAATTATATTTTTGATATTAGTAGTGATAAAGTTAGAATTAAGAAATTTTTGTAAGTATTGAAGTTACTTTTTTTAGTGATTATTCAATATTATATCTTACAATGCAAATTATTCTCTAATACAATTAAAATTTGTTCATTAGTTAATTCATAGTTTTCTTGAAATTACCCAGGAATCTTTATTCATTAGAACATTTAAGTAAATAAAGTCATAAACTGTTTATTCATTTCTAAGAATTTCCTTAGGGGAGATTTGCTAAAAATTTCTTCCAAAGTTAAAAATAATATTGGCTAATGTAAATATAACAAATCTTCCAGTCTGAAAGTTCTTTTTATTAAAAAAGGGTCATTTTAACCCTTTATTTATTATGTATTTTTAATAATGATTTGTTCTTCTGTATACTAATTATTAATTTTTCTACTGTTAATAATTATTCTATACACTAATGTTTATTATATGTACAATTAATTCTAGGTATTACAGATATAAAGACAAAATACAATGCATTCTCTGAATGTGGTGAAAAGATAAAAATGCAAACACACTTACTGATCGAAACAATTGTGGCTTTAATAAAGATATTTTAGAGATTAGTAGGAGCATAGAAGGACTACTAAATTAGAAGGGAGAAATTCATTCAAGTTCTTATAATCTTGGATAGTTGCATTGCTCTTTTCAAAACTCTTTAATTTAGATGCTATGTTTATAAAAACAAAGAAACTAAAACATAAACAGCTGCCGAGAAGTGACTATTGCAATTTTACAGGAATTAAAGACAAATAACTATATACACTAGTTTGTGAAAAGTGATCAATTGTTTTTACATCTTGTAGATAAAGGCTGCATCATGCATCTTGCAAAAAATTTCAAGGAGAGTTTTACGAACCACACTTTTCTGCTCAAACAAAGGAGGCAATAGAAAAATAATATTCTATTTAAAAAATATTTTTAGAATTCATCAAAAATAAAATGGAAACCCAATATAGTAGAATCAAGAGTAACAGTTTTAAAGTATTAGAAAATCTTAGAGATTAGGTAATTAGGTGCTTCTAACTTTTTATTGTGAGGTCAATCCAACCACTTTTAAAAAAATGGTAAGAATACAAAGTAAATAAGAAAGAGCAATGCTTTTATAAAGTGAGTTTTGATCTCTCTGAAGTCACCAAAATGCCCAACATTGGTGTCCTAGAGCTAGCTCTACTGGGTCATGAGACCCAGTTGTATGCATATCTTCCTAACTTCCCATTCAGCAGTATTTAAGTGGTAGATTGTAATTGGTTGAGGTAGGAGTATTACACTACAGAAACTATAAAGGCTACAAATAAGTATCATTTTTTCTTTTTCAGAAATCCATTGTTAAACATCCACCAGTCTGCCACTGACTATTAACTATGGAATGTGAAGTCTCTGAGGAACACAATTGAAAAACATCAATCTTGTGCAATATCCTCATGTTACATTGAGCAGCTCAGAGAGATGAAATAGCATTCTCTGCTGATCAAAATATTGAGATAGCTTACAATGGATGTTAAAGATAGACTATGAGTGATGCTGTTATTGTCTGAAAATTCATTTGCTGCAGACTTACCACCCATACCTTAGAATGTATGGGAGATAGGACCTTCAAAGAGGTGATTAGTTAAAATGAGGCCACTAGGGTAGGCCCTAAAATTCAATCTAACTGGTGTTCTTTAAAGAGGAAATTTGGACACATAGCAAGTCACTAGGAATGCATGCACACAGAGAAAAAATTATGTGAGGACAGAAGAAGAAAGTGACCATCCGCAAGGAGAGAAGCCTGTGTAGAAACCAAACCTGCCAACACCTTGATCTTGGACTCAAACCTCCAAAACTGTGAGATATAAATTTCTGTGGTTTAAGCCACTCAGTATGTGGTATTTTGTTACGGCAACCCTAATAAACTAATTCAGATGTTCAGGATCTTTTCTCAGAAAGTTGGGCACAAAAGTAGACAGGCAGAGCAATCATGGAAGACTTTAGCATGGCTTTATCAAGTATGCTTCTGGTCATTGTTTCATCAATGACACTTTGTTTTAGAAATCTTGTTTTTCTTACATATATACATATCCAAACAGATGTGTATACTAAGCTTAATTTCTGCTTCTCTAGAAATCAGTATTTATTCTTAATTATTTTACTCTTCCTTAAAAAGTAGACATTTTTTTGTATCTAGCTATTCTTGCATTAACTTTGGGTACATATTTTTGCTGTGATTTCAGAGCGGAGTGACCAAATTCTTGGTTTAGTAAATCATTTATCAGAAAAGTATGGACATGTTTAGAAATTCTTGTCCTCGGATTGTAGGGATTTCATGTGTATCTTAAAAAGAGAAGTGTGTTTAATGTGTTTCTGATCACAAACCACAATATTTTATTTGGCAAATATTGTCAATTACAGGTGAAAATTGTGTTATCACAAAATTCTAATTCCTGGATCTTCCATTATTAAAATCTTTTTCTTTTTATTCACAGCTAGATATTATTTACCTGTTTTTCTTACTCTCTACCTCCCCAACCACTGTGTTTCACAGCTTCCTGCACTTAACCCTCTTTCTTGTTTTCGAATTTCTTTGCAATGATGCTTCCTGGCAGTAGAAAATAAACTGACCTCTGCTGTTTTTGATCTAACAGAACATACAGGAGTGTTTCAGCTCAACAGTAGAAGACGAACAGCCTTTCTCTGATTGTAAAACAGCTTAAGTATTTTCCACAGCAATAGTACTGGAATCCAGGGCAGTGAAATGGCAAGCCACTGTTATTTTTTTATGAATACAAGCAGTGTACTTGCAAAATCATAATATCACTAGAGATGATCTTTAATGAATTACATTTATCATATTTAATGTGTGGATTTCTAAAAGTTGGTGGTTTCAGGGCTCCTTTACAATAGTATGCCATTTGACCTTCTTTGAATTTCAGATTCTTGAGTTCTAAACATTTGATTTACAAATTTCAGTTTATGATGCATGTTTGTCATTCTGTATATATTTACTTCTGAGATTAAAAAATTCAGAGGAACAGGAATATCTAGCAACATATTTCTGGCTGTTAATATTGCTGATGATCTGTTTCATATTTTTGTAATGTACCATCATCAATATTTGAAAAGAACAACTATATTTAGCATAACAAGTTCTATAAAACTTTAACAATTTCTATGAAATTTTTCATTGTGAAATGTTTGATCAGAAGACATGTGCCCTTCCTGCTGGGTTTTTATCTAAGATGCTGGAATTTGAAACATCAAAACATATAAATGGTACATCAAAGTAAAAGAATATTAGAGAATAGCAATGCATTAGCTATTCTTTGACCTTGACTTGGTTTTTAATTTCTTGCTTTGTGATTAGGGTAAGCAACCAAACCTCTCTTTATATAGTTTCATTGGAAATAAAATAAAGGAGTCCTTTCCATTTTATAACTCTTAGACAAGTCCTGGATATTTAGGCAGACAGATGTTGCTAATATGGAATTGTTAAATTTAAAATTATTTCATATTTTTCTTGAATAAATGTATTTTTAAAAACTTCTTTACTTATCAGAGTGAAGAAAAATACTGATATATTCATCTTCTAGAAAACAACTTTATTAGCAGTTTTTTTTTCTCTCTACTTAAAGGTATAAATTTTACTTCAGAAATTTTGTAAAAATGTAATGAGTATTCTGAGTTGTAACATTAAAATACTGTTTTGTTGTTAAATAGAGTTTTAGGCAAAAGTTGTATGATGTATATTAACATTTTTGAAAAACCTTAGCTAAAACAGACATTTGGATGAGAATGGAGTTCACAAATTGATGTAATGATAAAGTCTGTTGCACACTAAGTAAGCAATTCTGGGACTCTTCGAATGTAATATTTATAGAATGCCTTCTTTTGAGGAGTTCCAAATTCCTAATGTGATTTTACTAAATCCAGATGAAGTTGCATCATTTCATCCCAGGAATATGCTGTAAATGTGAAAAACTAAGGAGTTGAAATATTATATGTTGAAAATGCATGGCAGAGTCATAGACAGTTGCCAACCAACTAAATTGCCTTGTCTTTTGAATCTTTCTACTAAGAAATGGGCACCAACATCCTTGGAAGTGATATTATAATATTAAAGAATGGGGGGAAAAAAGGAAGCAAACAAAAACAACCAAATCTTAATGAGTTTTTATTGTTTCCCTGCATAAAATAGCACTCTATTAATTGCAAATAAATAGAATAATCTCTACTTATTTGATAAAAATGTAATACTCTATAACTTAGTTTATAACCACACATTACTTACATTCCTATTTTTAAAATAGCAAATATTTAGCAAGGTATTAAAGAAAAACACTAAACATTTTGCTTCTTCCAAAATGTCCACACTTCAGAAATGTGATAAGAAATTTTGAAAATCATAGAATTTATCTTTATGAATATCATATAGGCTTATAAAATTTAAGATTTTATTTTATTCAATTACTTTACTTTTACCTTTTAATTTTAGCTACAAAAGCAAATATATTCTTGTTGTTAAAATAAAATCAAAGAGATATATGTAGTACATCATAAAAGCCTCCCCACTAACCCTTCTATTTCTATTCTCAGAGATACCCACTATTAAACATTTGGTGTGTATTATGTCAGACATTCTTTCCTTATATAACCAAATATAGAACTTTATAATGGGATCATTCCATACATATTTTTCTGACTTGCTTTTTAAACATTTAACCATATTTAATGTATATCTTTTTAAGCCAGCACATAAAAAGAAGGGTTATCATATTTTTGCAAATGGTCTAACAACATTTTATTATAAGAATATGTCATCATTTATTGAATTAATTACCTATAGGTGCATGTTTAGATTTTTCCAATTTTAATTCAATTTCTAAAGGAATAGTTGCAAAAGACGTGTTTTAAGTATAAGCCAGAATGTTGGTTATTTAATGAAAAACACTAATCTCTTAGGAAATTCTTACTGACTAAAGTCAAGATTTAAAAAATAGTAATCTAAATGTTATATTTTTACATCAATCAGCAACTGCGTAGGGTATTAGAAGGGGCTATAGATTTAGACTCAAAGAAACTTGAGTCCCTTTCAAATCCTATCCCTTATTAATAATATGACTTTGGGCAAACTATCTCACTTCTCCAAAACTTGTTTTTCCATCTACAAAATGATAAATGTGAACTATGCAGTCTTTAAAATCTCTATAAACTTTAAGTGAAAGACTCTGTGTTGCTGTTGTAAAAAAAAAAAAGAAAGAAAGAAAAAAGAAAAAAGAAAAAATTATGCACCCTTCACTAGCGATGTGAGGATTCCAGAGAAAATCAAGCAGTCCCCCATCATCTTAGGTTGTTTTGTGGTAGGAAAGGCTAATGGAGGTTACGGAACATACATTGAGATCACCCAGGGTTTTTATGCTTTTGCATGTGTGCATTTTAGCCATCTCTTGTTCTACAATCTATAGTATAGATATGTGTGAGAGAATTCAGACTTTATATTCCTCGGAGGGATGCTTTATACTCTGACACAACAGTTCAATTCCATTTTGTGTGGAAGAGTTTCTGATCTTTGGTCAGCCTTAGATTGGTCAAGTTCTTCTAGACCCTGCTTTGTCTGGGCAGATTCTTGGTCTTAGAATTGAATTAGGACAGGCTGTTTAGAGTTTAGTGTAACAAGGAGAGGCTTCTAGAGATTCTGTCCCTTAGCGGATACACTGAGTCGATGCAGGACACTTAAATAATCAGCTGTCAGCAGCTTAGGACTGATTCAAGGACCTAGGATTTGCTCTTGGTTTTTCTACTATTTTGCTAGATGATTTGTTATTGGCTCTGAGTAGTTTGATAAAGAACCGATGTCGATTCTCTAAAATAGTAACATGGAAATAATTGATTCTGATCATTCTGTTATCTAGTTTGAAATAAAAATAGGTTTCTTTTTGGAATTCTTTGGTCATATATCAAACACAGCCCTATGATCTCTGTGTTTGACATTAAGTGTCAGGCGTAAGGATTCTCTTCACAAGTGGGGAAAACACTTAGATGCGTGTTGCCACAAGGCATTACAGTTATTAACATATCATAATTTTTTTCATTAAGTCCAAAGTGACTACCTGCAATCAAGCTAGGATATGAACTAAAAGAAGTTCTCTTATAGTGATAGGTGGGCCACCTATTCTAATTAAACACCCAGTGCCCAGGACTATTCTTACTTATGCCCCAAATAGTGTGAGATTTTCTTTGCTTTATGTTACATTTCCCCCCAAAATGTACTTCAAAACCAATTTTCTTAATGGCGATTCATACATGGTGTTTTTAATAACGCCATTAATCACTCTGTTACTAATTGTTTTATTACCTTTCTCATATTAGTAACTGTGAATACCCAACATTGTCAGATGTATAAGTGCTTCTCTCTCCTGGGCAGTGATGCTTACTTAGGAAAATACTTTCGCAGGATTCCTGCCCTTCTCCACAATTCCCACTGTCACCTGGGATGAAGGCCAGCTCTAATTTCTAAAATAATTGCCATGGACATAGTGTATATATACAAGGAGCCCATGAAAACAGCTTCAGTGTTGATCTTCACATTAATCCTGTTTTTCTACTCTCAGAAGAAAAACTAGCATTATCCTTATATAAATAATTTATACAAAGCCGTTCGACAGGGGAGTGGGGTGGCACTGGTGGCTTATCTAAGAACTCTGATAGGTCAAATTACTTATTCTGGTAGGGGCTAGAAGATTTTGAATGATGTTCCTGAATTTGTTTTAATCATTTCCATAAGAAATATAAACCAGACCCAAATATCTTTTAAAATGTATAAACTTAGATAAAAAATTTAGATTTTATTATCAATAATCACATAAAAACCTCATGGGAATTCACTCTTTGTTAAAACTAAAAGGACTAAGAGTCATGTGTGTTTTAAATATTGTTTTTCACCTGAATGTGATTTCTTTAGTTCACCTTCCTTTTCTTTTTGGGGAGCTTAATTTAATACGAATCATCATAGAAAAGCTGCAGCTGTCTATAAAACAAATGCATCTTTTTTATTTGTGTATTGGGTTTGCTATGAAGTTTTATTTTATTAAAAAAATAATTGTTCACATTTTCATGTTGAATATTTTCAGATACCTTCATCCAGTTCTAACCAAAAAAGCTATATTAAAAAATTTTTTTAAACATCTTGATGTTAAGGCAGGCACCACGACCAATTCTGGATCAGACAGAATGAATCCATTTTCTCAGCAAGATTTAAGACTTCATGCCCCCTGTTAAGACTCATGCTATGCACAGGGCTGGTACTGTTTATGACAGATGCAAATTGTATTCAACATCTTTTGTACTTAGAATTTTTAATATCAGACATGTATCCCGCAAATTCAATTCTTTCCTTTAAAGTCCGAAATTCTGGACACCTCATAAAGCAAAAAGCTTGCTGCCACCTTCAAGGAACTCAAACTATCTGATTTTTTTTTATTTGCTGCTGCCATTAGATTGAAATGATTTTTCTTCAGTTTGCTCAAAGCCAGATTTAAAGTCAGGTCCCAGAGGTAACAGGAAAGTCGATCCCCTAAGCTACTCAGTCGTTGTTTGCTTTTTTTACATGTAATATCCTACTTCTAAGCCAGAGTATAATTTAAAATACAAAACACACTCTACATGAATATGTTCTTTAGAAATTTTGTAATCTGACATTTAATGGACGTTAACTAGGTGCCTTATATCATGTCGAGGAAAATGGATAATACAATTACTTAATAGCTTTTTGCATATTTTCAATGCTACACATTTCTTCACTTTAATACAATTTTTTCAATGCTACACATTTCTTCACTTTTTTAGATCAATAACACTCTGTGCTCTTTTTTAACATAGATCTGCCAGCTTTCTCATTTACAGCACACCTAAATAAGCCAAAAAGCATTCTAAACACTTCAGACAATATGAGCTTCTAATAACCACTCAAAGAGCTCTCGTTTGCAGGCACTTTCTGTTTGCTGGGTACCAGCAAAGGGTTACTTCAGCTCAGGCGCTGCAAGTACGAGCAACAGGAATCCATTGGCTTTAATTTGTCCATGTCTTTCATTTGATACTACCAGTATTAATAGCTTTGCAAGGAAATTCTGCAGTCATTAATCATAATAATTAATCAGATCCAATTATATTGCATATAAATGCGAACAAATTGCTGAAAAAATAATGATCTATCACCAACATGTCACAAGGAAAAAGAGACTAAAATAGTAATTAGAAGCAGGGATTTAGTTGTGTACAAGTGCCCTGCAACTGATTTTAACAGTATGATGGTCCTATGATGTAATTAGTTGAAATTCTAGCAGAATTTCTTAGCAGGCCATCTAATGACTGTGCAAGTGGAGAAAATAAGGTCCACTTTTCTATAAGATCATTTTGCATTTGCTTCTAACTTTGCACTTCTGAATAAAGGAGATCTGCTGCGCTTCATGTCCTAGTACTGGGAACTAAATGGTTCCTACATGTGTTTTCTGAATTTTAAAGGGAGACTGTTAATTGAAGGTTCCCAAAGTTAGGAATTAAGATATTCTGCATGCCATTTTTTTTCTTTTTACTCTTGTAGTCATAAAAATGTGTAACATATAATTCAAAATGAAATGTTTTGGTTATAGTAAGTTAACACACTGCAAGTAGCATGCATGTTAGCTATTTTCACCTTTTTTTTTTTTTTTCTTTAACTGAACTGAAAACATTTCAGAAAATAGAATTATTCTGTTTTCACTTCAGTTAGCACTCTCCAGAGCACTGGCAGATTTTATCAGAAACCATTTTTAAAAATGAATATGTGTGTGATTGGATAACTTATTCTTAACAAATTCTTAAACCTGACCAAAGTGAATTGTTCGATGCAAGTTATTCTATGAAATAATTTTAATATGTCTTTATTTTCTTTTATTTCACTTTCGTCTCACAGGATAGAGCTTCTAACATATATTTTCAATTTAAAATTTGTGTTATACACAAGCATAATTAGCATTAGTTTGTTGTGTAACAAAATATGTATTTTAAAATCTTTCAATGTTTTCTTGCTCAACTCACAGATTAACACATGAAATGGTTAACTAAAGATTGATGAGCAGTTTTTATGATAGGTTTGCAGCTTGAAAATAAATGTTAGGTTCATCATAGTTTTCAATAGTAAGCACTGCACTTTACCGTCTTTGATCTCAGTGTTGTGACTACTACAAAGAAATAAAACCTTATCTTACCTTTTCCAGCATCTACAGCAGAAGACCTCAATAATGCATAAGAACATCTGGAAGTACGGTAATTTCAGCTATCAGAGATAAGAATTGACACAGAACAGGTAAACCCTACAAAGTCATCATGTTGAAATGAACTGATTAAGGTTTAGTAACATAAAACATCATGTATAGCGTTTCCATGCTTGCTACATCTTGCTATTTTATATTAAAAAAAGAATGTCAATTATATATATTTAATAGGTTGATTAGCTGGTAGCAATATTATATTTTACATAAAGAGACAGAAATGTCTGCAGATCTATTGCCATACACATCTATTTAGAGTTAACAGTGAGTTCATAGAAAATACATGGGCATAGTAAACAGGGTTTTGAAATGACAATTTTTTACTGGTTGCAAGTGCTAATTGCTAGTTTCTCAAGGGTATAGAATTAATCACCTGCTAGATTTACAGTCTCTAGGTTGAGACCTGAGGATGGAGGCAATAAGAAAAGCTCTTGAGGGACATATCATATGGTGAGTCTAAATATCAGTCTCTATGCATATGTAAATTGGTAACAAAGTTTTTTCAAAGCTCAAGTATGCTAATTTCAAACAGGCAAGACTAAAGCTAGCTTTTAGCAGCTGTTTAACGTCTGCCTGTGGGTGGTAGAGAGAGCTTAAAATACAAGCAAACAGTGGTGCATAAGTAATTAAGCAACATTTTGCTGGGCATAAATAATTCTGTTTATATTGCTCTTTTGAAGAGTATAGAATACAAAATAACAGATCAAGTGCACCTTTGGTCACTAGAGGTTAACTGTTTTTCCTCTTTACCTTTTCTTTGGTTTTACAATTTAAGGGAAATAAATAACAAAGTCAGCTACACGATCTTTTATAACTTTTTAGAAGATAAAAATATTTAAGGAGAAAAAAACCCTATTACAGAATCATTGCACTTATAGTTCAGCTATATTGTTTTTAGTGTATTACTCCAATAATTTCTCAGAAGAAAATGTGATATCTAATTGCAGATTTATTTTTTAACATTTTATATTTTAAGATTATGAAAAAATAAAGTTTGAGTTGTTTGTTAAAATGGAAATAAATCAAACTTTTTCAAAGTCTGAAAAAAATGTCCTCAATTTCTCAGGACCAATTTTAATTATCTCATGCATTAAAAATAAATAAGAGAAATAAATAAATGATTCAATTAGAGGTAGTTGCCTAAAATTAAGGAATGCTTAAATCATTGTACCGCATGTAAAATAATCACCTAATTTAAACAGCTCTTGTTAAGCCAGAAGTGTCTAAAATCAAAAGGAAAACAGGTATAAAAAAAATTGTATTTGATTCAATAAAAACCTTGAAATTGACCAGAAGGAAGATTAAAGATTTAACATGATTTAGAAATACCTAGTCTGGAAAAAGGGATTATAGATACTAACTGTGAAAGAGTCAAGGGTTTAAACTTTGTTTGCGTTAAATATTCATGGTTTAAGGAGTTAATGGTAAAAGGAAGTACTCAGTTGGGTATCAAATATTATAAAGGGCTTTATAACACATAAGAATGCTAGGAAGGCAGGAGTAGTTATTTATGCACAAGATTGCTATTTCCCTTTGCACTGAAAAAATAGGTAAATGAAACAAAACTCATTTTATCCATCCTTAACATTCTAACAAAATATGAAAAATCTAGTGAAATAAAAAACACCTTGTTTTTCTCCCTGACCTTTCTATATTTTCTAATTTTGCATATTTTAGCTTGTTATGAGGCTGGGTTTTAAAACCACATGGCCTGAGCAGAAGAGTGGGTTGCGGGTATAGGTTTGCTATTCAGTCAAGATGGATCAATGGTCTTTTACTATGAAAAATACTAATACTTTATCCTTTGTTCTTCCTCTTCCTCTCCTACAAGATGTGGATGTTAACACCAGTTCCAGTCTTTCTAACAAAACAAAAAGATGAAATTCATTTCAATGATTGGAAAACAACCATTTTGGGGGGTCAGTATTCTAAAGTTTCTCAGGCTCATGGAACATCTCACTTAGGTTTACTTTGAGTAGTTCACTCTCTATGTGCCAATAGACCTTGACTATATTTAGGTAAGAACTTGCATATGTTATTAGGCTAACTTAAGTCTTGGCCATCTATGGTTAGGTAAAAACTTTACAAATTGTAGGAGATTTGAAATGTTCTGCTCGGTTGTGCTATTTTTTTTTCCCTTGAATTTTAAGTTTCTGTGTGCTGCTTGTACTTTGAACTTGGATATGCTCTTAAGTATTTGTTCCACCAAAAATAGACAGTTACTAGAAAAAGAAAAGTAACATTGGAAGTGGAATCATTTTAGTTTGGGTTGCCATAGATATACCACAAAACCCTTGTTCAATACCTTCTAACTCATTTGTCAGTGGAAGATGATGGTTTACATACTTTATTGTCATTTGTAAGTAAAAATGTTGTTTATTTCTCTTATTTCTCTTATTATCTGTGGAGGTATGAAGGCAGGCAAGCTTAGACTTCAGGTGATCAGTTTAATTTAATTTTTACTTAGAGAATACTATAATTTTGTTCAGAATGTTCAGTCTAATTGATATAGTCTTCAAAGTAGTGATGAATTACCATCAATTCACCTTGTTTCACTGACTGCAAGTTATGTAGAAACAGTATATAGCTGACTAAAAGAGATGAGAAATAGAGGTCCAAGTAGGAAAAAAATCTGAAATGCAAATATGTATTCCAGAGCTTGAATCCAGCACTACACAGGCAGGATCAGGCAGATATAATGGGTATAGATAACCAATGTCAGATAATTACCACGAACTTTATGGGACCAGGACAATCCAGAGGGGAATTCTAAACCCAGGATAGAGGTTGCTTTTTCTCTACAAAGTTTGATACTTTCTGTAGTACATGAACACACACACACACACACACACACACACACACACACAATGAGTCAGAGAGTGGCAGAGGTTTTTTAATCTCTGCAGATGTATTTTTGCCAAAGGGGATTAAACAGAAATTTCTCTTATGAATAAAAGGCATGATCTCTGAAATGTCTATAAACCACCCAGTTTGTGCTCATTGATTCGTTTTATCACAAGAAGTACAGATTTACTTATTTATTCATCCATTTACTCAACCTTTGACTTTATTTAACTATCGTGCATGGGCACTGGAAGTTACTGCTGATATAAAGACATATAGAATACACTAAAATATTAGGGTCAAAAAATGTGGAATTACTGAAAAGTCAAATTTGTATATTGCTTATCATTATATCTATCTCTGACTTTTTGAGTCAACATTATGATGGCTATTAAGAGATGGAATTCTCTGTTAATGTGAATATCTGTGAATATAGAAAATCTGATTGTAAGCTTTTCATTTTCAGCCAGTTGATAAAATTCTGACTAGTCACCATGCCATGCACTTTGAAAATGATTTCATGGATATATGCTAGTATAGATTGCCTATTGCTCTGTTTATTATTCACTTTAAAATTATATATTTTTTATAAACAAAACATATATTAAAAAAAAACAAGACACTATACCATCTTTTCAACCAATCCAAATCAACAACTACATAAAAGGTAGGATCTTAGGAAGGAAAGGTTAGACTTTACTGTCAAAGATCCAGAGACCTGCGGGTTGTACAGGATACCTCAAACCCAGAATCACTTCATCTATATTCTCTTTCCTTTGGTATCAGTCTGGTATGGGCACAGACACTATACACTGTTGAGATTTGTTTTGCATTCTGAACTGGAATTCTTTAAAGCATTGTCAAATCTGTTGACTACAGTTCATGCTCAGGGAAAAATCTAGATAGAACCATTTCAGTATTTGGAGTTTTCATTTTGCTTTTTTTTGTAGCTTTCATGAAATGATTGTACGATATTGAGATCAACTGCAGCTGAGAAACTTTTCTCATTATATTTACTAATTTATATAGCAGCCAAAAGGTAAAAGGGAAATAAAACAAAAACATATTTGGTAATTTCAAGAATTTAAAAACTAGCCCTGAGGGAAAATGCATCACTTTTTATTTTGTATCACTGCTGTGTTTAAGAAACCTAAAAAAAGGGAATTTCATATTCTCATATTTTGACAAGTACTTTACATTTGCTTGAATAAATATTTTACTATGAAAGGAATATGATTAAAAAGGAAAGAACTATTAACTTCTCAGGAACATGAAAGCAGTAAAAGTACACATTCCATAAACCAAGGGATGCAGTGGCATTCAGTTAAGTTCAACCAATCCTGGAAAGATATTTTCTTTTTCTTTCTTATTTTTAAGCTCAGCAAACCCTACACTTGAAGAAAAGGAAGGTGTGCTGCAAGTATCATATTAATGTTGCAGAACTTAGTTCTTTTCTGAAGAGTTTCCATGTCCCAAGAGCATAAAGACAATAGTACACTATATGGAGAGCCAATAAATCAATTAGCTTTAACAGCCAGAGTTTAGGAAATGCATCTATTCTGTTTGATGAAAACACACCTTTTTCTTGTAACCATACTTCATACTGTTAAGGTCAATTTTTCACATGAAAATTATATTTAGCGGCTGAAAAAAAATCACTCATAAATTTTGTAAAACAAAAAAGAAGCACTTACTAATGTAGAACAAGTTTGTTTTATTTGTAATTATCTATCTTTAAAGTAATTGAGATTCTAAACAGCAGCTAATAGCCTCACTGTCTCAAATTACTACTGCCTGTAACTTTACCTTGCCAAATATCAAAGAGCTTTTCAATTGTAACTCTACTACTAAAACCTAGGTCATTTTCTAGCAATTAATTGGAAGAGGTGATTAATAGCTTAATAATGGGTTGTTCTGTGTTTAAAAAGTGCAGGGGACGTGCATAGGAAAGGAATATATAATTTTGTATCCCTGAAACATAACCTAATTGAAAAATCAGCAGTTGGTCTTATTTACTTTAGGCTTGTACTTCCAAACCCTCTTTTGATCTACTTTGAGAAAATGTGTAAATCTGGAGAGTATTTTTTAATTAACTCCTTGAACGTTGAACACGCTATGAATTTAAGGAGCACAAGCTATTCCGTAGCACCTGCTGTGCTGCAGTCGACTTCACAGGAATTTGAGGGCAATG